AGAAGAGTTATCATGACAAGCGAAGGAAGGATTTAGAATTTCAAGCGGGTGATCATATGTTTTTGTGAGTTACACCTGTGACTGGTGTTGGGCGAGCATTGAAGTCTAAGAAGCTCACTTCTCGTTTCATTGGATCGTATCAGATTTTGAAGAGAGTGGGGAATGTTGTTTACAAAGTGGCTTTATCGCCTAGTATTTCGAATTTGCATGATGTGTTTCATGTGTCGCAACTCCGGAAGTATATTTCAGATCCATCTCATGTGATTCATATGGACGATGTGCAAGTACGGGATAATCTTATGGTGGAGACGATGCCTGTACGGATCACAGATCGTGAAATAAAGACTCTTAGGGGCAAAGAGATTTCTTTGGTTAAAGTGGTTTGGCTAGGAGCTGTCGGAGAAAGCATGACTTGAGAGTTGGAGGGCAAGATGCGAGACTCCTATCCTGAGTTGTTTGATTAAGGTAAATTTTCGAGGACGAAAATATTCTAAGTGGGGGAGAGTTGTAACGCCCGTAATTTAATTAATTATTTAATTAAATTATTTTTGGAATATTTGTGAAGATGTGTTGTGATTATTTGGACTTAATTATTTTATTGAGTGGAGAAATAATATTAGAAGTATAATATTATTTGATGTGGGTTTATTTTAAAGGAATAGAAGTAATAAGGGGGGTGTATTAGTTTTGAGCCCAATAAGGAGTAAAGAGAATAATAGGTTATTTTATTGTTGTTAGAAAGAATAGAAAGAAGAGGCAGTAGAAGAATAAGGATTGAGAAGAGAACGTGAAGCTGCTGGAAAAAGGAGGAAAAACGGCAGAACGAGAATTCAACCGGAGATTATAGAGCGACCTTCAATCCAAGGTAAGGGTGGGGTTCTGACTCTATAATTGGGTTCATGATAATTGGTATGTGGGGTTAGAGGTGATTGCTGTCTTGTTCATGAATTGGATGTATATGATATTGTATGATGAGAATTGATGAATTTTAGATGAATAATGATATCCCGGTGTTGTTTAATCGATGTAGAATTATAGGATAAATGTAAGTGATGCTTATCTATGATTAGATTAAGTTTTTAGGGCTTTAAGCATGAAACCCGTAGTGAAAACACAGAGAAATCACAGATATTATGCAGGATGGAACTGGATGTGTCGACCCCAAATGCTATGTGTCGATACAAGAAGGTTTTGAGACTCAGGATGAGTCGACACGAAGGGCCTTGCGTCGATACATGAGGACTTTTAGACTCAGAATGAGTCGATCCATAGGAGCATGTATCGATACATGATGTGTGTTAGACTCAGGATGAGTCGATACATGAGGGAATGCGTCGAATCATGTTGCAAGTTCAGCGCAGTACGCGTCAATCCAAGGAGTTATGCGTCGACCCATGTTGTCTGGTTTTTGGCAGAATCAGTTTGAGAAGGCTGTAACTTAAGTTTTCGGACTCCGTTTGAGATGCCATTCGAAGCCTTGAATAGATAACGCGATGAGCTTTATTCTCGAGGATTAAAATGAAGAATAGGAAGTGTAATTCTAGTAGCCAATTTAGGATTAGAGATAGTTCCCGTGTTGATCGTTATGTTGGTTTTTATGCATAAGAATGAAGATGAGATGCTTATAGGCTGCTGTTTGATTTGTAACAATAGGATTAATAGTAATGATGTAAGATTACAGAATAGCAGTATGTAGAGATTTAGTGATTTAGAAGTAAGCCTTAGTTGGTTAATTAATTATAGGCAATATCTTGTATAGGCCTATGGCCAACGTTGTGAAGTTGATGAATGTTGTTGTATTACTGTACGGCTGAGTTATTGATGAGATGATGTTAATGAGAGTTTGTTTTGATGAATTATGATGTATAAATGATGTTTGATGATTTATGATGATAAACAGTGTGGATGGAGAGATGTTGAGATGCTGTTAAGATGTAGGCTTTTGGCCAATGATGGTGTTGTATTGAGATGTTGTCAATTATGGTGTTGTTATTACATTCATGATTGTGTCACATACATTGCATTTTGAGATGAAGCTTATGCTCGTTGAGATGACCTGTATTAGAAAATATTGAGATGGAGGCTTATGCCTTGTTGATGTCTCTATTGATTGACAACTTTTGAGATGAGAGTTCTGCTCCAATGGTACCACATGCATTTGTATAGTATTGAGTCGCATTATATGACTGCATAAAGAAGTGTGTATTGATGTTGTGAACGTGTTTTATTGTTGCAACTATTGCTGATTTTGAGATGAGAAGTGATGATGCTATGTGATCTAATTTAATATATTAATTATCATACATTTTATTATATTGTTAGATATCTCACTCCTTCTGTTTGAATGTTACCCTTATATTGGTAACGTGCAGGTAGTCGAGAGTGAAGGCTGTATACCTTCAATAGTTCGAGTCAGTGTCATTGCTCTGATATGTAACACTCGGGGGATGAACGCTTGTTGCTTTTGATTGTTGATTATTCAGTTGTTGAACTTTGAGTTGATTATTATTAAATTGTGTTGTTTCGAAGTGTTGTAATGATCATAAAGGTGTTATTAAGAATTCCACTGCGTAGATGTTGAATTATTGAATTAAAGATGTTATGATGATGGTTCATCCGGTGTTTTAAAAGTGTTATATATCCATGATGAATGCAATGAATTTTAATAGAAGAATTTGTGGCATCCCGATTCGTTTGCATGAATGATTTCTATCACTCTGATTTATTTATATAATTGTCGGGGTAGAATTGGGGTCTTACGCGCTCTTTCGGACAACAAGAGTTTTGTGTTATTAATGTAAAATTATAGAGGATGGAAAATCATATGCAAATCACTTGGTTCTAGATTGATTAGATATCCACTTTTTGGACGTGAATCATGAATCAATTCTGGAAGGAGCTAAAAGGGTAAACATAATCAGTGAATCAACCCACGGTAGCATTTGAGTACTGCAGAAACAGGAAATCGATTGATTCTGCTTTTTATTGGAAAACTTCATTGAATATGAGGCTATATCAGCTAAAGGAAATACGAAGATGAAGGAGAAAACAGGTCCATATTTTCACTATGCCAGTTAGATTAATCTTTTATAGTAGTATGTTGTTGAAGCAACAATGATGCATCATGTATTCCATTATAGTAAATATTTGTGTACTGATATCATTACTAGCTTATGCTTTAATTTTATCGATACCTTACGGTTTTTTTAAAAAGAAAAATTAGATAGAGTTGATATATACTACTTATCATATTATGTGTTGAAACAACAATTTAATTGGATGCTTGTGCATATTGAAATGGATAGCATAAATGATTCAAAATAAAAAATAATGATATACAAAAATATATTTTTCTTCTAATATTTCTCAATTTATAAAAGTGATAAACAAATCAAAAATCAAACTAATTTTAATATTTAAAAAACTACGAAAACCGGTTTATAATAGATACAACAACAAAAAACGGTATATATATATATTTAAATTAAAACAATAATTATATAATTAAATATGTAAATATAAATCTTATTTTTAGTTTAATCTTACGATTTAATACAAATGAAAATAATAAAAAAATTGAAATAAATTTAATCAATTATATTAAATAATTATTTAAATTTAAATCTATAATATAATAACACTAAATGATAGAATTAAGTGTGTTTTTTCTATATACTATATACAATAACTTTCGCTCTTATTCTCTCTGAAAGTTTCTTTAAAATATAGACACACTGAATATTTTATTATCGAGTCTGATTGTATGTAATAATATTCAATTATGGATGGCGATGGTGTTTTAATAATATTTCTTGAAACAGACATTGTAATACATAAATATAATTTTAAAGTTTGTTTTTGAAATTTAATGTATGTAAATCTTAAATCATAAAGTTTCTAATGGTATGTTAATCTTATATTTTTTAGTTTATTTTTAATTTAATATGAGGTTTATATTTAAAGAGTATTGATTTGTACTATTAGATAAAATTAAGTTTATTCCATTTTTTTTGTAAATTATTTTATTATAAATATTTAATAATTTGATGATGTTGATTCTACGTGATTTTAAATAATTTATTCTTTTAAAACTTTTTTGAGTAATCATGTTTGTCTTTCTTTTATTTTATTATATTTTAAAAATGAATATGTCTAATATATCACACCAATACTTATACAAACGTACATGTAATTAAATCAAAATTCGTACGAACTCACGAGTTATTATAATTTTTATATAACTAAATAAAATAAAAATTAATATATTTAAAATAATGTATGTATTCAAACATGAAAATATATGTTATTAATGCAATTAAGATAAATATATGTTTCTTAAAAAATAATTTAAAATATTTTAAAATTAATGAGTGAATTTTAATTTTTTTTAGTAAATGAAATGCGTTTTTTATTTTTCTGTGTGTATTTGTTTCTATTTTATTTAGAGATTTGTTTTCATTATATTTAAATACATGCGTTGGAATTAGGGATTTGGGGGCAAAAAGGAATTTAACACATATACACTATCGCTACGAAACCAAATTGGTAGCACCGCATAGCAGCGGCGAGGGAGAAGGTATCTCTCTTTCCCTTAGTCGCTATCCATCCAAATTATAATTCCTCTAAATCTCAACGCCCTCTGTTACATATTATGCATTATGTTTGTTTCTTATAGGTTGCTCTAAACACACAACTATCGCATGATTTTCGTTAATATAACTGTTTCCATTTGAATCTTTTTTTTTTTTTATAGAATTTTAAATGCAAACACACCCTTCAGAGTTATAGGTGTTTGGAAATTTTAGTGTAAAGTTATAATCATGATTCCTTTTGTTTTCTTTTCCTTCCTATTAGATATCTACTACTGCAGATATTAAGTTGATTACTAGTGTCAGAGATTTCTTTCATCTCAGTCATGGCAAATAAGCTTATGTTTAACGACGTTGATCATGTTGGAATGTAATGTAAACTTACCAATACTTACTGTTTGGTCGCGGAAGGTTCTGATGACTTCTACAGGTTTGGTGTTCTACTATAATATATTTCTTAATCAATTTTTACATTCCACACTACTTCTACTATGAATAAATGTATGTGTTGTTGCTACAGTCAAGTTGTTGCCGAATTTGAAGATATTATCCCTGTCATTAAAACCTCCATTGCTGGCTCTAGACATGTTGGTCGTTATTGTATCGGTAAACCTTTTCTCTTATAATCAGTATGTTCAAGTTGTGGAATTTTCCTAATGCTCATGACACCTTCTTCTATTGGTTTGCAGGAAACAAGCATGGGCTTCTCTTGCCACATACTATCACACCTGAAGGTGATTTAAGCTATTATGCTATACTTTACTTTATTTTTACTACTGTTGAATGCTAATGTAGTGTGACATTCTCGGCTAAAATATATTTATTCTTCCACCTAGAAACAACTCACCCTATTGTTTAGCTCACTAATATCTTCCATGTTTTTTATTTAATGGGAGTGAGAGTGATTCAAAATTAAAAATATATTGAAATAGTGTTGCCAAATATATGCTGTAGTTCAACATTCTCCGTCGATAACATTATTGAAAGCATACCGCTTAAAATGTAGTACTGACTAAGTCACCCTCAATTACCACATATTTGGTAAAAAATGAAGTACCATTCTTAATTGTACCAAAGTATTGTTAGCGAGCTGAGTCCGGATTTGCTCCATTTATGAGAGAGAGACAAGCACAAGTGACAAATAGGTCCTAATAATTTAATAAGCGGATCCCACTAATACTCATGTTTGGCTGGTTTCAATGCTCCGGTTGTCATTGGACCGGACAACCGGGCTGCTCTTGGTTCAACTAGTTGAACTGGCCGATTCAGTTTTTCAAAACATTGCTAATTGTCAAGTATTCAAAAGATTCTGTAACTTTTGCCTGCATACAAGTATTTATAAGCAGTTTAGGTCTTTCAACATTTTATTTCTTGCATTTTTTTGTTTTGTTTGAGGTGTGATCAGCTCTTTTGTCTGTATTAGAATACAAATATTACTCAAAAGTGCTGGCTTTCCTTTACTGTTTCATCTTTTTTGTGGCATATGACTACACATCATTTGTGATATTATCCCAACTTAACGCAACTTGGTATTTTTGCCATGATTATCTAAAGAATATCAGCATATAAGAAGAAGTCTACCTCATGCAACTGTTGTGCAGCGCATCCCAGAAGGATTGACTTGTTATGCGAGATTTATAGCATGCAATGACCATGTTGCCCTTGCGCACACTGAACTTCACCAGGTATTGTCATATTTGTACATCATAGATTTCTTTTCAATGCCACTGTCTCTTTCTTGTTTAAGACAAATTAATTTTGATAGAAACTTGTTTTCTTATTAATCGTGGATAATGAATATAGAAATGGATAAATTTTATCATATTGTTAAGAATCCATTTTTATCTAATGAGCCTGAAATGGAGGTAACGAATCAAAGTGGAACCCAATGGACCCAAGACTTGGTAGGTTTACGCAAGGAAGAGAAGGGAAGCATCAAAGGACACATGATGACTTGTGACATCGAATTAAAATGATGAGAAAAATTGAAGGTTATGTAGAAGGGTAACTAATCAATTGAACAAATAATTTTTAACCCTTCTTCTTCTTCTTCTTCTTCTTTCATTCTACCACCAGCACATTGTCTTCTTCTCTCATTCCAGCTACCACCGCGACGCATACTCAAGTTAGTAATGGAGAAGACTCCGGTAATAGAACACTCATCTTCAGCATGGGGAAAACTCATCTCACACTCTTCACAGGTATACACCAACTCCATGTCTACTTAACAACTTCCTAATCTACTTTCTGTTGAGATCATGGTTGATACTGTGGATGATTTTGTTGACCTTCTTGGTACCCCTTGATATAATCTTTTAGTACACTCTTTTTGATATTTCAAACAAAAGTGTAATTCTGGCGGCAGATACTCAATGTCACAGTGAATGTTATGACACCGTATCTGACTTTCTATAAGACAGTAAATAAAAACAGTAAAGAACACAGTCAATTGTTTACCCAGTTCAGTGTGAAACAACACCTACTCTGGGGGCTACAAAGCCAGGGAGGAAATCCACTATAAGAGATATTAATTCAGGAATAAACCAACCAGTTTATCTCCCTCACTTAAGACCTACCCAATGCAACTTCAATCTAAGTTCAACTTAAACCTGAGTTCCTACTCACTCCCCCTCAATCACAGCATTGATACTTAAAATAATTGACTAATGAATTAATGAAGACACTCTTCAGAACATACACTTGATTATGCTTCACAGCTTTTTAATCAAGTAACACAAACACTCGTGCTTCACAGCTTTGAGTGATACATAAACCTAACTTGACTTTGCTTCAAAGCTTTAGTCAAGAGACACAAACACTCTTGCTTCAAAGCTTTGAGTGATACAAAAACCCTTACAATCAAAACCTATTCCAAGTCACTTATCACAATGATACTTGCTTGGATTACAACAGTTAAAACTATACAGCTCCTAATTGATCTTCAGTCAAAAGAGTTACCCTGCAGCCAGCATTCCTGTTGAATATATATGCAGCTGATTCTTCAGTTAGGGTTTCCACAAAAAGCTAGGGTTAATTAGGTTTAACCTTAAGACTTGGTCACAAGACTTTATCAGCCAGGTTAGGGTTGAGTTAGGTTAACTCAAAGTCCACGTGAGATTCTGTTCTGGAAGGAATGATCCAACTTCTTGAAAAATCTCAGAATTAACCAAACTGCACTACTGTTAGATCAGTACAGGATGTCTTAACATTTGTTATGACATCAGAATTCATGTTTACTGATTTTGGTAGAAGGCAATAAATGTGATCATTGCAAAATGCTCAGATACACACTCATAAACAGTAGCTACTGTATGTCATACTTTTTCTGCATAAAGAACCTAATAATCCAGAATGTTATGACATCAGTCATGACATTTACACACCTGGTTTTACCAAAAATACAAGCCAATAACTAAACACTTACAAACTCCCCATTTGGCAGATTTTTGGCTAAAACCCCTAAGCAATCAGAGAATAGAGAGCAGCAGAATGAATATGACTGCAGAAAAAAATATGATGTCTACCAAGTAATAACACAAAATATCTGCCCCTCTTTAGCCACAAATGGGCCAAAGATACATGTACTTATATGTTATACAGTCATCCAAAATAAGTAATAAAAACAACAAATAAAATCTGAAAACACTTGCATCAACAGGAACCAGCATCAGGCTTGTCAACTCCACCAAACTTTAAGCACTGTCATCTTCAGAGGAGCTACTTTCTTCAGCATTGAGCTGATCTTCAGCAGCACCCTCTTCCCTTCTGTTTCCTTCAGTCTCCTCCTGTTCTAATCTGGCAATTAGGTTTTCTAGAGTCTTTTTCCTTGTCTCCAGCTCTTTGCAGGTCTCTTTTAATACAGCTATAACATCAGATGTCTTGGACTGAGTTTTTACAGATGATGTCTCAGCTGATGTTATGACAATGTCAGAAACATGAGATCCCTGAAATAGCTTATAGTGTAACCCAAGAGCAGGAGCTCTTTTGCAAGCAAGGATAATTCCACATAGGAGGGAGGGAAATGCAATAGGGCCTTTAACAGCATAGCTACCAGCATGTTTTAAAGTTTGATCAAAAATATACCTGCCATAGTCAAATTCAGTCTTGGTTCCAACAGCATAAATGAATCTCCCCAATCCTGTGGAGATGGTTGATTTATGGTTGGTAGGGACCCAGTTGGCTGCACCAATCTTGTGCAGGATGGCAAATTTTATGCTTAGTTTGTTGGCATTCAGCTTGCCTTTTAAGGGCCAGCACTTGACTTGTCTTGCTGTGATGGTTTGGCATACTTCATTGTCAGTGACTTCTAGTTCAGGGCAAGCCTCATTTGATCTTCCAAGAAATTTGTTAATTTCAGATGGAGAGAAATTAACCCTTCTTCCTCTCACATAGACACATTCAAAGTCAGCTGACCTTCCATCAACACATTCATCAGACAAATTCACTATGAATTTCTTGACCAGATTTTCATAGCATTTGGTAAATTTTACCACAGTCTTCATTAGTCCAGCAGCTTTGATCAGGTCCATGATTTCCTTGCAATCCATGGCACCATTGTTTAGTTCTCTTTCCAAGGCTATTCTCTTCAAGCAAACATACTTCCATCTGTTGGCATTTTCAGGGTGGTGAAATGAAATGTTGTCAGTGGGGACTTCAGGAACTCTAGCCATTTTGCTGGAAGGGAGTTTCCTTCTGAGAGGAATGTCTTCAGCATCAATTTCAAATTCTGATTCCTCATCAGAATCAGAAGGCTCAAGTTCTTTTCTCTTCTTTGTTATTGGTTGTCTTGCAGGCTTTGAGAGACTCCCAGTATGCACTTGGGCTTTCACCTTCCCTTTGGACAGTCCAGTCTTCACAGTTTCTGCCCCAGTCTTGCCTTCAGACCTGGTTTTCTTATCAGCAGGTTTCTCTTTGGTCAGACATTTTGCAGCATCCTGATTACCCTTTCTGTTCATCATTCTCCTAGCTATGCTAGGGTTGATATTTGCAATTAGGTCATTGTCTGAGTATTCCTCATCCACATCAATAACAGGTGGTTCAACATTCTTCTTTGAAGGGTTCTGAATATCATCAAGGTTTTCAGATGATTTCTGAATGTTGTCATTTGGTGTCTCAACATTCTCAGAGACATCTGGATTTGCTTCAACATTTGGGCTTGCTGATTCTTGATTTAAAGGAACAGAAATCCCCGGTACAGAGTGGTTCTCACTCAGTATTCTTGTAACAAGCCTAGCTATTGCTTGATGTACATAAGCTGATCCTTCTCTATTTGGTACAGAAGATGAAGGTTGAGAGGGATTACCGGATGAAGTGGTTTGAGACCTTCCTGCATGTCTTGTTCTTAGCTTTTTGACCTTGGATGGGTTAGTTGCCATTTCTCTAAGAGGAGTAATCTCCAGGACTTCAGAATCCATGCATGAGGTGATTGCCCGAGAATCTTGATCAGATGATGAAGATGAAACTGTCGTCTTGGATGAGGATGATGTTTGAGACATTTTGATTGACTTAGAAAACCAGTAGCAACTAGAGAGAAAACTTTGATTGAGAGAAAGGTATTTGTTGCAAAGTCGAGAGAGGAAGGAGGCAAATGAGTGTCTATTCAACTTCTTAATAACTTTGAAAGAATTGATTAACCCACTCAAAATAGACTTAACAAAAATAACTCCTTCAACCCTTGTTTTAAGCAAAATTAATTGCTACAATATCTCATGTTGGCAAATACCCAACTTGCCCCTCAAGTTTTCAAATTGATTTGCATCAAGTTCCTTGGTAAAAATGTCAGCCAGCTGTAGCTCAGTGGCAACATGTTCCAGATTAATTGTTTTCTCCTCTACAAGGTCTCTGATTAAGTGATGTCTAATGTCAATGTGTTTGGTCCTGCTATGCTGAATAGGGTTCTTGGAGATGTTGATTGTACGCAGATTGTCACAGTACAATGTCATAACATCTGGTGTGACATTATACTCAGTGAGCATCTGTGTCATCCAGATAATTTGAGAACGGCTACTACCAGCTGCAATGTATTCAGCTTCAGCACAAAAATGAAAAGGAAGTCTTTTGACATGTATCATAGCTCTGACAGATTCCTGTATGGTCCTTTTTTTCCTCTTTTCAACTCCATTTTATTGAGGAGTTATAGGAGAAGAGAATTCATGACTAATTCCTTCTGAGGAACAGAACTCATTAAACTTACTGTTTTCAAATTCCCTGTCATGATCACTTCTGATTCTGACAATACACCCTTCTTTTTCTCTTTGAATTCTTTTGCACAGTTCTTTAAAAACTTCAAACACATCAGATTTTTCCCTAATGAAGATAATCCAGGTGAATCTGGAAAAGTCATCCACCACCACATAGGCATATCTCTTTCCACCAAGACTTTCCACCTGCATTGGTCCCATATGAAGAAGTTCTAGAACCTTAGAGGTGATCACATGTCTTGACCTTGGATGTGACATCCTAGTCTGCTTACCAACCTGACATTCACCACAAACTATTCCTTCATCAGTTTGCAGTCTTGGAATCCCTCTGACTGCCTCTATGGAGATACTCCTTTTCATTCCTCTTAGATGAAGATGGCCAAGTTTTTGGTGCCACAGTTTCACCTCTTTTTCTTCTTTGGCAATAGAACACACAGTGGAGTGATTAGTGTTCTCAGGCTCCCACAAGTAACAGTTGTCTTTAGATCTGACTCCTTTCATTACAACTTCTTGTTTTTCATTAATTACAAGACATTCAGATTTTGAGAAGTTGACCTTGAATCCTAGATCACATAATTGACTAATACTAATGAGATTAGCAGTCAGGCCTTTTACCAAAAGTACTTCATTCAGATTTGGAACTCCAGGGCAGTCCAAATTACCAACTCCTTTGATTTCACCTCTAGCACCATCTCCAAAGGTCACATAACTAGTGGTGTGAGGTTTAACATTATTGAGAAGGTTCTTGATTCCAGTCATGTGCTTAGAACACCCAC